TCTTCTTCTTCTTCTTTTCTCCTTCTTCAAAAGCTCCAAAAATAAATCCTCTACTCACTTCACCCAACGAAACCCACAATTAGAGAGTTGGGAATGGAGGCCGTAATATATACAAGAACTCGCTTGTCTGATCTATCCCATAGTGCTTAGGAATCATCGACTGGAAATAAGTGAAATAAAATGAAAAGGAAAGAACAGGAACACTGTTTTCGTTTCAGAATATCAGAAATGAAAAGCTAGTTATTAAGGTACATAACTCAAGTTGTTTTTAAGCAGAAAAGTTCAATGCTTGTCGTAATGTCAGCGAAAAAGCAAGCCCCAGAAAAACTCCCCCAGTTCCTTCCCTTCCCAGCCCTCATTTTTCCGTCATAAAATTTTGATCCTCACCGTCGCGCTTAAAACAGCGATCGCGCTTGCACCTCAAATATCTTGTTCCTCCATCCTTGGCTGGCGTTGTCGTCCACCACCTCGCCTGCTTTCGCGGCTTCCTCGTCCCAAAGCTTGACAACGCTACCAGGCGCGTACACACCCGAGAAGACATTGCCTCTCTCACCAGCAGCACCTCGGACACCGACATTGGTGTAAAGATCTGGATCCTCCTCGGGCGTCAACCGTGTGATGATAGCCTTGAAGAAAGTTCCCAGATCTTGGGGATCTGAGATACGAGTCGCGCGCAGACGCTCCCGAGCGAACAACAACTCGCGATTCGCAGCGTGGAAGAAATCAGCGATAGCGGTAGAGACCTGGCGCTCGATGACTTTGCGCAAGATAGGACGCAGGAAAGGCTTGAAGATCCAGGCTAGACAGGCGAACTTGCTCTTTCTCAACGTGTAGCTGAGATGATGGATCTTGACCCGTACATTCTTCAGCGTAAGTATCTTCTCGAGACGTTCCTTGCCGATCTCAACATCGAGCTCAATGTCAAAGCCTCGGTCATCGAGCTCGAACGAAGCGATTCCCTGATCGGCGAGACGGAGCAGGCCTTTGTGAGCGCGCAGCCAGAAGCCGACCTCCTCGGCGCGGATGGAGAGACCTTGAGCCTTGATTGTAACGAGAGAATTCACGGTGCTGATGGTGCGGAAGCGAGCTTTACGGATGGAGAGGTCGTTGTAGGTTTCTATCTTGAGACGGAATGGGAGAAATGAGGTGTGGTTGATTGTGCGGCCAGGTTCGATGACGAGGTTTTCCAGGAGCAGGTCGATTTCGGGGGCGGAGATCTCGAGGCGAGGGACGGGAATGTACTGGATGGCGGAGATGAGGAGTGGAATGAAGACTGTGTGGGCGTCGGTGAAAAGGTCATGATTGGTGATACTATTGGCAGGGGATATGATGTTCCAGATTCTGAGGGTTGTTTGGAGAAGCTTGGAGACGTCTTGGTCGTGGACCACCAAGTCGAATGTTTTTCGGGCTTGATGGATAACAGCATCGACATCCTTGCGAAGAGGAGAGTCTGTACCGACTTCCTTGGACTTCTCTTTTAGCTCTTCAATCTTGTTATTGGCTGACTCGAAGAAGTCGGGATCGGTAAGCATCTTTTGGATCGATGTGGCAAGCTCTTCCATGAGGTTTTCGAAGTCCGGATCCTTCTGAGAGTGCTCCATGAGTTTGTTGACCCGCTTCTCCAGCTCCTTCCAGGCTTGCTTGTCTCCAAAAGAGCTGACCAAAGACCATCCGTTCTTGATAGCCCGGTCGAGCTCTTCATTTGTCTCGATATCTTCGGATACGGTACTGAGAGTCTTGTCCACAGCTCTGGAGTATACTTTGGCGTATCTATTGATCAAAAGACCAATTGTGGACACGGAATCGGAGTAGTCATTCCTCTTGCGAAGCTTGGTAACTGCAGCTTTGAGACGGTAGACGAGCGTTTCTCTTTGGTCTCCGGTGATGTTCTCTTTGAGACTCACGCCTGCCTCTTCCCCGGTCTTTTTGATACCGTTTGCAATGACCTCTGCAACCTCGGCAGCCTCGGCACCAAGGTCCTCCCCCGTAGGAGCTGGGCCATTCTCACTGCCTGGGTTCTTGAGAGTCTCCGAGGCTTCAGCGGATGGTTCAATTTTCTTAGCGGCCTGGCCAGCGACCTCTGAAACGGTGTTGGCAGTATCTGCGAATACTTGTCTTCCGATGGTGTTAAGGTCCGAAAGGAAGATTCTGAAGTCCGAGTTCGTTAACAGTAGGCTCCCCACAGTTTTGAAGCTTTCATATGCTACGGATATCAGCATTTACTAATTTCAAACTGCTTGCGAGGTAACATACCCGCTGATGCATCCGCCTTTGCTCTAGTCGAAGTTGCCGTTCGGACCAGATCCTCGACATCAACAGAGACTCTCGAGTGTATCAAGAACCAGATGAAGTCTTGGACTTGATCCCCACTGTTCTTGTTTGCGAGCAAGTCGATAAACTCCTTTAACCATTGCTTCGTGCACTTGGTCAATTTTCGTCCGTCGTCACTCAGGCCAGTCAATTCCGGGTTGAGCACATCCGAGGCCAAGAGTGTTCTCAAGTTAACAATTGTCTGCTCTGTAGATGGCATGAAACCCTTGGAAAGAGCTCTCAGCATCTGGTACGTGTGCATCTTCTGGTGCGCAGCGCGTTGGAGTGAGGTGTCGTCCTCATATTGAGGAAGTAATGGCTGCCTATCGCCGCTCCTCGACTTCTTCCTGGACCCGAAGCACGACGACATGATGCCTGGCGGGCGGGTTGGTAGATTGGATTGATGGAGGAGGTTGAGAAAGCGAAGAAGAAGAGGAGGAGGATGAGATGGAGAAGGTGGAGAAGATGAATATGAAGAAGATGCGATTTACCTAGGGGAGGCCTGCCCTGACTAAGAAGTGGGGTAGGCGAGCTCGAGAGGCTAGTGAGTGTATGTAGATGACGGGAGTGTTTCTTTTGTTTGTGTTCACGCCGGAGAGGAAGGTCCTGCTCTGGATGCAACGTCGATCGTCGACCAAGAAAATGGATCAGGCAGTCAGGGTGATGAGTCGGAGGTCTAGATTTTCAGGCCCGGGCTACACACATATGGCAGTCAAGATGATGCTGATGCTGATGTTGATGCTGATGCATTCATTCCCTGATTCCATTCCCAGACCATCAAGAAAGAAGAGGCGAAGCTTTCACTGGAAGCTTGAACCTTGAGCTTGAGCTTGAGCTTGGGCCAGTCCAGTATGACGTCAGTGGGGAGTCCCCTGTCTTCTACAGTATCCCGGGAATGGAAGAACTGTTGATCCGCATGACAGAGCACTGCCTTATCCGCTTCCCACTCCCCACTACCCAAGATATCCGATATATCGACAACCCCTCGAGGCCGTACGAAGCTATGGATCAGCGAAAAGAAGAAGTCACTCGACGGCCTCTTTATGGTGCGCCCGTGCCTTTTTCTTTATCCTTTTCTCGCCAAGTACATACATATACATAAATCTAATACTGTGTCAGTGTATGGCTTACCTCCGGATATCCTCTCGACTCTAACACGGAGGGACGAGACTGAAGGTGGACCGCAAGACGATGCAAATCCCACGCAAGATCAATTACCAGAATTAAGGAGGGAGACTGCTGCTGGGGCAACGTCATGTTCTCTCTGCGGGGTAACATTCCACACCGTGGAGGACCAGAGGAGCCACATGAGGTCGGATCTACATGGCTACAACCTCAAGCAAAAGATCCGAGGCGCGAAGCCGGTGACAGAAGAGGAGTTCGAGAAACTCGTTGGGGGTATGAAATTTCCATGTAGTTGGAGATTTTTACTGACTGCTGCTAGATCTCGATGAGAGCCTCTCGGGCTCTGACTCATCCGACACCGAGGACGAAGCCGACGGACCAAAAGAGACGACATTGACTGCGTTGTTGAAGAAGCAAGCAGCGATATCATCGAATAGCAACGATGGCGAAGCTAATTCTGCACCTACGAGACGGAAACGAGGCTCAGGCAAAGCACCTATTCTCTGGTTCGCATCGTCTACACTGCCCACCAATACCTACCTCGGAATCTATCGGGCAATATTTACAAACGAGGAGCAGGGAAACGAAGCTAAAATTCTTGATATTGTGAGGAAGAAGCAGCTGGCACCCAAGCCTGCTCTGAAAATACCTACAAATCCGAGTAGTGGGGTCCCGTTACCGGAAACATACCAGGAGCCACATATTTTCTTATGTATGATTGGAGGTGGCCACTTTGCGGCTATGGTAGTTTCCTTGACACCGAAACAGGCCAGGTCGACACCAACCGGTCCCATATCAAAGGAAGCGACTGTTCTAGTCCACAAGACGTTCCATCGATACACTACACGCCGGAAGCAGGGAGGTGCTCAATCGTCGAACGACAATGCAAAAGGTGCTGCACATTCAGCAGGTGCTGATCTGAGACGTTACAACGAGCAAGCGCTGGTAGAAGAGGTTCGAGCATTACTTCAGGACTGGAAGGGGATGATCGATACATCCGAGTTGATTTTTGTGAGGGCAACGGGGAGTACTAACAGGCGAACACTTTTTGGTCCCTACGATGGACAGGTGTTGCGACAGAATGACCCAAGGATACGAGGGTTTCCATTCAGCACCCGTCGTGCCACACAAAACGAGCTCATGCGGTCTTTTGTCGAACTTACACGGGTCAAGGTGCTAGAGGTAGACGAAGCAGCTATAGCTGCAGCAAAACTCGCCGCAGAAGAAGCAGCGAAACAGGAAAACACAAAAGCCGCCAAGAAAGCAGTGCCTGCAGCCCCAAAATTGTCCGAAGAAGAAGAAACAGCCCTCCTACACACATCACAGCTGCAAGCCTTGATCCGGCGGTCCAAAGTCCCAGCTCTGGTCTCCTACTTCAAAAACAACGAAATATCCCCTGATTTTGTGTTCCAGCCTCCGGATGTTCCCCAGAATTTCCACGCACCGACATCGCTGCATCTCGCTGCGAGCCAGAACTCCGCGCCCCTCATTACGGGACTACTCGTGAAAGCTGGGGCAGATCCAACAGTATCTAATGGCGATGGAAAGACACCCTTCGACCTAGCAGGCGATCGCGCAACACGAGACGCGTTTCGCGTCGCTCGCTCCGAGCTGGGCGACGCAAAATGGGATTGGGATTCGGCACACGTGCCGACGGCGCTGTCGCGCGCCGATGCCGACATGCGCGAGGCTACGGAAAAGAAAGAAGAAGCCAAGAAGGAAGAGGAGCGGCGGAAAGCCGAGGAGGCGAGACTGAAGGAGGAGGGACCGAAGGTGGGCGATCCCGGGCCGTTGGGCAAAGCGGCGGGGAGGGGGCGGATGCTGGCGCTGGGCCAGGTCGCGAAGACGGCGCAGGAGAGGAGGGAGGAGGAAGCGAGGGGGATGACGCCTGAGATGCGGATGAGGCTTGATAGGGAGAGGCGGGCTCGGGCAGCGGAGGAGAGGATGAAGAAGATGGCTGCTGGGGGTGGGGGTGGTAGCTAGGATGGATCATGAATGCAACTCATGGCGCGTGTGACATGACATTTCTCTAGTCTTGACGGCGGCGGCATCCGGGTATGTGTAGTTGAGCGCAGTATGTATATATGTATATACCCCTGTGGCGATTCATGAATTCAAAGGTCGGGGCAAAGGAGGTAAGGTACCTAGGTCAATCACGCTCTTGCCAGACATACCCTCGATCTCTATCTCTATGCCCTCCCCTCCCGCCTTCCTCCTCGCATGGAAGCAAGGCCATAAGAGAAATCATCATCTCCTCTCCTCTCCTCTCCCCCTTCCTTTGGCAAAATCGGTTGGTTTAGTTGGTATTTTATGAGTTCTTGGGTTTGCGTGTAGCATGGCTGATTCTCGCGCCGCCTAGACCACAGCCGGCCGGCCGTCCAACTCCATACATAGCAAGCTCCACCTCACCGTGAGCCAGCCGGCCAGCCTACATCCACCGCGTCGCCGCATCCCCTTTGATGATGCCCTCCAACTCACTCGTCGTCCAGCCGCCGTAGAAGTCTCCCGGCTGCGGCGTCACCAGCTCGCCATCAACGTAACAGTCCCACGGCCCAGCATAGAACGAAACGTAGCCCTTCAGATCCCGGAAGCCCGTCGTCGGGCTCTCGTAGCTCCAGGCCCGGTCCTGGACGACGGCCTCTCCCGTCGCGCCGTCGCTTGCGGCGGGTGGGAGCGCGAGGGAGTAGTATGTCGCCCAGCCCTTCCACTCGCAGAAGGTGGATTTCTTGGTTGCGGTCAGGGGTACGGTGATGGATGATGGAGGGAGGTAGTATGCTTTATTTTTGTCATTTTCGGGTCAAGTAGATGTCAAAGATTTTCTTTGCTTTCTCTTCTTTGCTCTATCTTCTATCTTTTCTTCTGTCTCTTCTTTTTTTGATGTGGAATAGAAAAGAAGAAACATACTCGGAGCGTGGTAGGTTTCCAAAACCCAATATGCCTCTTTGGTATCAGCGATCGTATGGCCGTGCCACTTGATTTGCAGGTGGCGGGGTGTGCGCTCGAGAAGGGGGGGACGCGGGAAGTTCTGGACATTGAGTCTGGGTTTCGGTGGCATTCTGACTGCTTTCTCTCGTATATGGTAGAGCACAGATGCAGACAATAAAGTGAAAAGAAGGAGGATTAAATTTCTGTCGTTGATCATTGCCGCTTCAAGTGTTGTTTGTGAAATGGAGGGGTACCTATGTCGATGTACGCTAGCAGCCGCTAAAGCTGCCGTGCGGGCTTGGCGACCGAACGTCACAAGCTTTTCTTGAATACAAGGATGCCAATCTTGTCGGAATACTTATCGTCAACCATCGCACCCCAAGTCTCGACACACAATCGAAACCACCGCATTCCACGATATACAGCTCTCGAAAGACCGCAGATATGTCCGGCCTCGAGAAAGCGCTCTTTAACCTGAAGGTACGTTATCACTCACTCGCCGTGGCGAGCTACTCGATGCCTCTCATCACCCCCACCAGACCCACGGCGCCTCCGAACCCAGCTAACACACCGCGCAGTTCACAGCGAAGCAACTGAACCGTCAAGCCAACAAGGCTCAGAAAGACGAGAAGGCCGAGAAGGACAAGCTCAAGAAGGTCCGGCCACACCTCCTCCCCGCTCGCCCGCCCGCAAGCAGACAACAGATTGGGGTAGAGAGAATGTATAACTGACGATGGGCGTCTTCGGGCTTTATAGGCGCTCCAGCAAGGCCACGGCCCAGAAGTCGCCAAGATCTACGCTCAGAATGCGATCCGCAAGCAGAACGAGCGGCTGAACCTGCTAAGGCTGGGCAGCCGCATCGACGCCGTCGCCAGTCGGGTGCAGACGGCGGTAACGATGCGGCAGGTGACGGGCAGCATGATGAATGTGGTCAAGGGCATGGACCAGGCCATGAAAGCTATGGATCTGGAGAAGGTGCGCAGTGCAATACCCACCCTCTCCCCCCATCTCTGTGCCGAAATGGCATGCGTGTCGCGTTTCAGGAAGGGCTTGGGCTAATGCGATAGGGAATGGACAGATTTCAGCCGTCATGGATCGATTCGAGACGCAGTTCGAAGACCTCGACGTCGCGACGGGATACTACGAGAATGCCACTACGTCCGCGACTGCGGTTGGGACGCCGCAGGAGGATGTCGACCGGCTGATGAACCAGGTTGCCGATGAGGCGGGCGTGGAGCTACAGCAGGAGATGGAGGGTGCGAAAGCGGTTACTGCTGCGCCAGTCAAGAGCGGACCGACCGAAGTTGAGGAGGATGGTCTAGGGGAGCGCCTCAGAGCTTTGAGATCTTAGGTGTCGGTTATTTGGGAGGC